TGCCTTTGTACGTTAGAGCCCCCGTTTCACGCCGGCGCCGCCTGTAGACAGGGTACCCGTCTTGGTTTGCTCGAGTCACTTCTACCAACGGCTTCGGATACCCCTTACTGCACTTCCCGTCCGTCATGCTTGGGCTCGTAGGGTTCGCAGCTCCGCACGGACCATGCATCATGCAACTCATGATCGTTTCGTACAGAGCAGGATTAACGTCCTTGTCGGGCACCTCCGCAGACACCAACTTGTCAATAATCTCGCGAGTCCGAGGCTTGTCTCCATCCTCCAGAATCGTGAGAATGTGGGCGTGTGGAAGGCCGCGCTTCTGGAACTCCACTACGTACATTCGTGCCTGTAGGCGGCCGATTATACCTTCGTCCAAATCCGCTAAAAGGGTTTTGAGCTTTTGTTGCCAGACCCGGGCAACAATATCCGGGCGGTCTTGAGCAGTTTGACCCTCAGGGAGTTTTTCCAGGATCTCTTCCCACTTGGTATTGCACGTCTTGGTAAGGAACACGTCAGATTTCCCGTACTCGCGAACTATAGCCATTGAGTCTTGGTACGCCTTGTACATGTAGCGCGGGCCACCGACATGCGAGTCTGGGAGGATAACCCGTTTACCGATTTGGCCCAGAAAGTGTTCATCTTGGTCGCTGCGTCTCCGGTCTGGGTGTACCAACTCGCCGGTATCCCGATTGAATTCAGACACAATAGCTTCTCCTTCACCTAGCGTCACAGCCGTCTCATTGAGCAACGCGTCTTGAACGCCGTGATACTGGTCCGCACGGATCTCCTTCTGATGCATAGCCACCCATCGCAACTGCTCTTGTTCACACTTAGCTCGCTGGTCGACCACCCACTGCTGGAAGAGCCGACCTCCTTGGAATAGAGCCGATTGATCGCAATCCTTCTGGAACAGTCGATAAGCGGTATGCTCGCGCAGCGCCATCTTCGTTTTCTTCCTGTTCTTTGCTCCGTCCGCGTACGTGTTTGTGTACGTCCATCCGAGGTCGCCGTATGGAAACAGCAGGGGATATTGAAGTGGATCATACTTCTCGTCGGTCTCGAATAGGCGCAACAGTTGCTGGTCTTTAGCGTAGTGAACCAGGTCGCGAGACTTGGGAATGTTACCATCCGTAACGACAACGGCGCCGACTTCCGAAACCGTTGGCAAGTTGTGCGTCCCTGGATGGGAAGGCTTGGCCTGCAGCTTGTACTTAATGTCCATGATGGGGATACCTTTGGCCAAATCCTCCCGCAACTTCTCTCCAAACTTTAGGAATTGCTGCGCGAACGGATTGCACCGCTCCATCATATCCTCGATGTCCTTCAAGGCGACGTTGTCCAGATCGGCGTAAATGCTTTTGCGTCGCTTGGCGCGCTCTTGCATCACGGGATCCACGATGTAGATCTGAGCGAACTTTGGTTCCGTCCTCTCACCCGTTGCGCGGTCCACGTAAGGCAGCATAGATCCCAAGTAATGCCCCATTGCGCCTTGGATACGGTACGTGTACACGCCGTTTTGTCCCGCGACCTCCTCGTCTTGAGCTACCCCTCGAAATCGTCTGTCGCTGGAGGAAGCACCGATGGACGTAAAAGCAAACGCCTGGTTGTACGCCCGGATATTGCGGCGGAACTTGTCGTCCCGGTACCACTCCAAGAGGCGCGGAGGTGCTGCACGAAGCGGAGGTAGTCTCACTCTACCCCTCATGCAGCAAATGAACTCGGACTCGTTGGGCCATTTCAAGCGTGACACAGCCGGCACATCGTCGTTGGAGGTAATTTGTGGCGTCCGTTGACGATGTGTTGTCCCCTAACGTTGGCAACCCGGAAGTCTTCATGGTTGGCGTGCGCGTGGCGATGCTTAACAGCCCTGCGTCGAATGCGGTTCTGTTCGCGCTGAGCCTCGAGTTATTGCTCCGTTAGCGCTGCACGTCTGTCCGCTTGCCGTTCTCGATCGCTTGCTTGCGTTGCGATGCGTTCTTCTTCCGTCTGTGATGCGCGACGCACTGCTTCGCGCTCCCGGTTAAGCTGTCGAGCCACCTCACGTGCATCCGCAGATTGCCCTTGTCGGCGTGCTCGCAGGGAAGAGCGATTGCGTTCGCGCGCTTCATTGCGGTCCACAGGGTTCTGACGGGCACGACTTGCCTGCTTACGAATACGGTCAGCCTCTCGTGCTGCAGCTCGTTGAGAATCCGTCTTCTTAGCCCTCGAAGCTCGAGTGCGCTCTCGGTGTTTTGCCTTCGTTCGCTCTTTCTGCGATGCGGTCATGTTAGCTCTACGGATCCGTTGACGCTCTGCCTTACGAGCTCGTTCGGCCGCCGCTCTGTCGGCCGAGAAGGGGGTCGATGCTGCTGCCTGTGCAGCCTCTGCCTCCGCAATGCGAAGTCCCTCTGTATACGCAGCCGCATACCGACGCTGGTGCTCCAGTGGGTCATCGTCCTCCGTCTTGCCTTCCTGTTCCACCGTAGACTGTTCAACAACCACGGCGACCTGAGACACCGGTGCTGGGGCAGCGCTGTCGTCCCCGGCAATGTTGAGAGCTTCTAAGTCCTTTTCCAAGCCGCGTTTAACTCGAGATCGTGTTTTCTGGCGTTTTCGCTTTACTTCCTCTTCCTCAGGCTCCTTAGGTGTCTTGTTCACATGCGCGTTATCCTTCAGGGCTACTTCGACCTCAGCCCGCGTGCGCTGGCGTTTGGGGCGGCGGGCCATGGCCTACTCACTGCGAACACGAAACATAGTAACGTGACGCGTTAGACATTAAGTCTAAGTACACCGCATATACCAGTAGTCTTCCATGCAGCTTGGTTTGGTTGGACATCTGCGTACTGCCCGGGTGGTGCGGCTCCCATCGAAGTTTACTATCTCATGGAACGAAGTAACCGACACGAAACACCGAAGTGAAATCGCTCGCAAACGTGCAGTCGGCAAGTCAGGGTTGAGCGCCCGGGCAGTACTGAGGGTCTTCGTGCGATATCCTTTTGCGCATTCGTGAGAATGGCTTGGTCGCATGGGCCAAAGGACCCATTACGGCCAGCTCAACCGGTTCGCGTTCGGGTTTGTTGTCAATAGACCGTTGCCAATATAAATTACCAAAATGTATCAAATTTTGATAATTTACGTTACGCTACTCGCCAGAGTGGGCGGTGGGTTTAAATACTCTGTAAGGGTCCAAAATGTGTATGACTATAAATAGTCCTACCCATATCAGACCAATATTTTTTAAAACCCCCTAAGCACGGCTTCCGCCTAGCGAGGCAACCCCCCGCTAGGATGATACTTCCCCCTAAGCAGCCCCAGGAGCCTCGGACTATCTGTGCGTGGTAGTGGTGGTGCCTTGAGTGGCTAACTAACATACATACACGCAGCGTACCTCGTCGGCATCGTGGCGCGCGCGAGGCCCAAATTCAAACTGGGGCAAAACTGCATTCAGCCTCTAGTGTGGCCCACATTAATAATTCTTTTAAATATTAAATTAAATTGGTGACACCTTAAATACGTTAAAAGAGCAAAAATTATATTTATTGAGAGCCGTACACGTACGCTAGCCAACGCCGCAAGGTTACCCAAGCAGTAGGGTCAGTGAAGGTGTCCCAGGCGACCAGCGCACAGCAGCACGGTCGCCCGGGGGTGCCGCGGGTGCCGCCTTCGCTGCGCTCGGCAGCTTGTAATGGGGCCGCTTCGGCGTCCAAGGCTGTCTATGTACGATTATGTGGACCACCTTTAAAGTGGACAAAAGCTTCACACGGACTTTCACACGGACAGATCTCTCTGTTAGATGTTGTAGACTAGCCGAGCGCCGCCGCTACGCGGCGGATAGAATTTATACTCTAATTAGCTGTTTTGCACCCGTTCCGCTCGCCTCGTCGACTCGCTGCACTCCTCGCTACGTTGGGATAATAAATACAGAGGCCGGGGCGGGTCCTACGGCCCCGCAATATCGTATTGGGGGGTCGCCTTCGACGACGGGGCCGCCGTCGCTTTGCTCGACAACCTAAGTACGATTATGTGGACCACCTTTAAAGTGGACAGGGTGTGACGGACTGACACGCAGACGGACAGATCTCTCTCTTAGTTGTTGTAGACTAGCCGAGCGCCGCCGCTACGCGGCGGTAGTTATGTGGTTACTTGCAGTAGATAGGGCCGCCCACCTCCGCTTCGCTCCGGTGGGCTTTTATCCAGTTCAAATGTTATTGATTTCGATTGTGTACATGTAAAATTGTCTATAGGTTTGAAGTACTATCAGTAGAGTGACGTGGCTGGTAATAGCTATTCCAACGTCAGTGCACTATGAGTATATGCATGTTGCAGGGTAAAACATTATCTATTGTACGGTCCTGTGCTCCCGTCGCAACTATTTAACCCGAATTACAAAGTATCCGCACAGTACATATCTCACAATCTGCGTTTACTGTGAGTTTAGTAGAAATAAACATGAGCAATATGCCATGGTAGGGTAGATCGATCTGGTGTTGGTATCTTATGTGTGCTCACATAAGTCTATGTCGTACTTGTTGTTTATTCAGTTTATCATCCCACCGTAGCTCTCTCGTAGGCTATAATACCTTCATTCTACATTGGACTATAAGCCCCAGCAACAATCAAAGTATGGGTTTCGCTCTTCCTGTACTTAGCATTACATTAAGTGCTTGTGATCTTATATAAATACCGAGTGTACATCATCGTTTTAGTATTTCGTATGTTCCGCCAAAACGCAGCTGCGGGCTGCGCTAACTACTGCGTGGTCTACTTCAAAACTCGTTGTTTTAGACGTGGTATTATTCTACTACGCGGCGGACATTACCATTTTAGTGTACCACCTGCATTATAGTAGGTAAGATATAGAGAGTTCGCACTCGTAACTTTATAGTTATAAAGTCACGTTTGCCCTTTGTTACCCTATCGTTACCAGAATGATACATCAAGTATCTTTTTACTTTGGTCATAGTAGAAGCAAGATAACTGAAACAGCAATTTTCTGAGCCACGGCAGTTTCCTCACCGTTTATGACCAATCATACAGCTAAGAGGGATAGGTAAAACCCCACGCTATTGTGTCTTCTGTAGTATATCTATCAACACTATTGTGTCCCAGGGGCACGGACGCGATCATCGAGCACAACGCCAGCGGCAGCCGCACACTGGTCGCCGCCGGTAGTAGCGGCAGAAGCGCCACCAGCGACATCGACAGCAGGGTCTCGGACGCGATGGAGGTGACCGTGGCCTTGGAGGACGCGGTCAGGGGCGTCTCCGCCGACATGGACACGGCCACGGACGCGATGGTGGCGGGGGACTCGGGCAGCAAGCATAACGGCGGCCGCAGCGCCGTGTGTGCGCCGGCAACATCATGACCACGGAAGCTTTGGGCGTGACCGTTGTCGTGCTGGAGGTGGTCGTGGGTGCCTCCACCGGCACGGACGTTGGCAAGAACGTGACCGGTGACCAGACAGCGTCCGCAAATGCATCGACAGTGCGGAAGGAGACCGTTGTAGAGGTGCCAGCAGTACCGTCAGCGGCATCAACAGCATGACGTCCTTTGTAGAGATCGTGTCCGTACTGGAGGTGATCGGTGGCAACTCCGTCAGCATGTAGTCGGACGCAATGGCAGCGGGCGACTCGGGCAGCGAGGGCAGCGGCCGTGGCAGCGCCGTCAGCAGCATGACCTCAGACGTGGTGGTGGCGAACGTGGCCGTGCAGGATGTGGTCTGAGGCGTCTTCGCTGACATATACACAGTTGGGAGTTATTGTTATGCTTGGAGGCGGGTGGAATTTCTAATAGCATCCTGTCGGATTATACGCAGTGGAGTGTGGTTAGCTTGCCGCTATGGTGCACCAGTGGTAAAGCAGATGTTGTCAGCCACGAGCTAAATTCGCATTTACGGCATCAAGACTAGCGGGGGCAGATGGAATAGGTGTGACTTAGTGCAGTGAAGTATAAATGGTTAGTTGACTTTGACTATCTTGAAAAAATGATGTGAGGTTACGCCTTGGTGGCTGCGTTAGCCTTCTTTTGGTCTTGGCTGGCCTTCAGAAATGGACGGTTAGCTACATAAATTGGAGAGGTTCGTCGCAAGTTGCCGTCGACAGTGTACACTTGCTTCGGCAAGTAAAACAAATGGTATTTCTGCCAGCAAGTCCAAGTTTGCTGTTGGCACAGATGCTGCTTCGTTGGGTCAACAGGGTATGTGCGCTTGCACAACGCAACTCGATGGGTCCCGCAGTAGTCGGTTTTCTCGGTAGGATCTCTGCCCTTGAACTTGCACACAGTGCATTTCCGCATTGAGCGACTCCTTCCCTGAAGCACCTCCGAGGACGCTCTTGCAACACACGTTTGTGCGTGATCGCCCGAAGACTCGGATACATCTGCCGACGCCGCGGTTTGGGTCGTCGTCGGCATTGTTGTCGTTGTCGGCTTCGCAGCATACACCATTCCATGTTCCCTATCCAGAGATTTCTTCCAGTCCCCATTGAACAGTTCTCGAACCAGTGATGCCACAAATGCGCGATGACTATCGCGGGCTCTTGACCTTGTTTGGGCTGTACCTCCCGTCGAACGAGACTCCTCGCTCTCACCACGCGCCAAACTATCGCAAATGTAGGCATTGCATCTGGCTATATCAAGCATGACCATCGCTAGTTGTTTATGCCACTTCTGAAATGAGTGGCCATCGGCTAGAGAAAATCGTGCACGCAGTTGGTCGAGCCGATCAACACCTTGCATCGCTGAATTATACTCCCCGACGCAAGTAGGAACAGTGAAAGCCACACTCGATTCTTTTATACGACGATGCACAGTTGATGTGGTCGAAGCATCGGCATTAGACACGACATTGACAATTGAGCCATCCACCCAACTAGCTGCGACAATATGCTTCTCTAAGCATACACCTTGCTTCATGTAGCCTCGCGGCTTCGCGTCCTCCTTACGAATCATCGTAAAATGAGGGAAATGCTTGCTAGATGTGCGTACAGTGCCACGTCCATAGAGACCAATCGATCGTAAAGTCTCCAACAGCAAACAGGAAGTGTAGAAGTTGTTCGTGTTTACAATGCGACTGAATCCTTTCAAAGATGAAGTAACCTTCATGACGTGAGAGCGGATTTCAGACGACTTCGCGGTTAGATCAGCGAATTTCTGCAGTTCTGAGCGTGAAATTACACCGTCCAGCCGATCATCAAGTTCACTGGAGCAGTGCAACTTGAAACTCACCGCGTACCACGAGGTAGAACAGCAACACACGTATAACTTGAAAAGATACTTTCCGGTGGGTTTTTGTGGGTTGAAGACTATAATGTGGCGGGCGTACTGGGATCCGCAGGCAATTGTGGCCTCATCAACAGCCACGTTTCGACCGACTTCAACATGGCGCAGGCATCGCGATTTCAGAATGCTCATGAGTGGTCGTATTCTAGCTACAGGATCGCGCTTGATGTCGGAGGTAGACACCTTGGAACGAAAACTCAAATTCTTACGAATGTACAGGAGTCTTCTCCATGTCATAATTGACTCCAAACTAGTAGTACGCGCTCCAGGAAAAATAGTTGCTTCCTCGTCGTCCACCCAGTAATTTCTCATCTCACCCTTGTCGAACAGAGTCATGTACCAGAGGATCCCAAGGAATTTCATCAGTTCCTCTAAACGTACAGGAGTTGCCGATGGGCTGCCAGATGCGTCTGCATACTCGTTGGTAAAGACGACCACTTGGATCCAGAACGACAACGGAATAAACGCGAAGAACGATGAGGTTGCTGAATGCCCAAACAACCCATGACTTTCCGGGCGTAGTCTGGTAGTTGAAGACCCATACGGATGTGTAAATAGCCCTGACGGTTGGCCAAGCGATGCTGTGGGTGAAAATGTCATTGATGCTATCGCTTCGACTTCACCAGGGCACAAAGGACGCTGCAATTCTTTCCGCCCGCGAAACGCAAACCACTCACGATAACCACGCTCGTCCATCTCCTCAAATTCATCTGTCAGTGCAGGAATGTTTGATAGTTTGGGGACCATGTTGCACAGGGACGTCCAAGACTCTCCAAATTGAAGTTTATCTTTTTCCATGTTGGCAAACTGGCGAATACCACGGGTGATGATGGCTTCGGAAACATGGTGAACGTGATCTTTTTTTTGAAAAGCAGTACACGTCCGTTGAACCTGAAATTTGGCGTGAGGAACGCTAACATTGTCAGCATTTTTTTCGCTTGCCAGGCTGTAGCGAGTCACCACACCAATCAAAAATGCTGCGCCAACGTCGCGATACAAACTGAGCAGCATTCACTCCTCATCAGTCGGTGAAAATGCTACGCTAGCATCAACACATTTTTCGGCAGCCGCATGTGCTCGGCGAATCAACTCTTCTTTCATTGCCACAGCCTTGGGTTTATTGGCCTTGGTAGGTGCCTTCTTGCTTTTCGTTTTCCGTTGTGCAGCTTGTTTTTCGCTTCGGGGTGCCTTTGGAGCTGATTGTTCGGCAGGACCGCGCTTTTTTCGCTTAGGTTTTGCTGCCCCCGAGCAATTTGTAGCAGGATGTGTGGCGGCGTTGGTCTCTACAGGTTCCGACGGAGCCACACTTGGCGTCAAAACACTCGCGGGGAGGTCAAGTAGGGCATTGGGTCGTACATCACTTCTCCCTTGCTCCACCAAGTTCATTTTTGTAGCGTTTGTGTAGCAAAGCGTGCTGCAATAGCTGCTATCACCGAAATCCTTGGCGAATCCACCATTAGGGTCTGGGATATTCAACGAAACGCAGACATCATGAGAGCAGAAGTGATGGAGAATTTTTTTGCACCAGGTACAACTGCGCTTGGTTGAACACTCCATATTGCAGACTGCACATTGCGCACATATACCAGACGATGCGGTGGGTGCGTGGTGATCTAGCTGGAGTAAATGGTCTCGCGTAGCTGCTGCATGTACGGGTACGACGCGCGCTGATGTTGGCGGTGTAGATACAGCAGAGGCAGCACCATCAAACACCGATTCGTGACAGCTTACTCCCGGAAGCGCGGCTTTCTCACAATCAACGTCGCTTGCACTCGCTCCAGGAACTCCACCGCTACTGCCACGTACATCATCTGCCGCGTTGAGACCAACATCGCCAGCCCCACATGGATTAACGTTGTTTTGGTCGACATCAATTTCGTCATCGGGTCGCTTGGACAGGGCACCATCCGTATTACCATCCTCCGCTATCAATGTCAGCCGATAGTGCTCCAGAAGCGCTCGTTCACCTAGAAAATAATAGATACCCTCTGTTCCATTCGAGTCACCACCGGGAGGGATATAGCGGTACAGATCACTCAAGCTTCGCCCTGTTGGACGCTTCGAACTCCAACCAGCCGCACTTAGAACTCGCCAAACAGATCCAAACATCGCACGGTCATCCGCGAGGTCTGTATGCCGGTGGACACGCGTCAATATGATACCTTGCTCGAGCGCTAGGTAAGCAACGGATCGTACCTAGACCGGTGGGAGCTGAAGGTGAGATACTACCCGAGCGTCGTGATTGTTGTCGCTTAGCTGTGGGCTCGCAGGTGCTCGACCGCTGCTTCCGCTTTCGAGGCATTGGGTATGTGGTGGTGGACGAGCTCAGCTAGCGTACCAGTCGCTCCTTCACGGCAAAGATCTCTAACTGGTTTGCATGCATCGGTCTCGCTTGAACCATTGGACCGAATATATTGTTATTTGTATGGCCATGTTCGGAGTGTTCAAAGGGACCGAACGTACTAGGCTTTGTATGGGGTGGTTCGACTCATCGTTGTATGTGATGTTAGTATGGTGGAGTTTGAACCCACCGGTGCAGGTTCAATGCCCGCCATGCGGAATGCAGCGTAGCTGTGCTGACAAGGTACCGTGCAAAATGCATCGGATATCGAGTGCGGGATGAATACAGTGTAATTACACAGAGTCATGAATAGTACGAGTACTCAAAGCGTTCAACGGTAACATACGGTACTTAGATTTACTCCAGGCATATTGCTACCAAATGTAAGTGCTGTAGCGGCTTCGGCATCGTCTCCAGAGTTACGTTGACCCATGCAAGCCCCATAGTGACGGTCCGAACTACGGTACACGGCGACAGTGGTGACGCCCATCGTAGATACACTGCTGCCAAGTGCCAATGCTGCCTGCGTGTCCCTGTCGCTGGGCAAATTGGGCGCTTGCGACGTCGTCGTCTTGGCGACTTCAGGCTCCATCTTGACCCCCGATGGGACTCGAACGCTCCATTGCTAGCAGCAGCCTCTCTTGATCTTTGTCGCCGGTGGCACCCCGCTCCCTCCTGAGGTATCTACGTGCGGTTATCCGTCGATGAGGATCGCTGGAAGCGAAAAAGGACGGGAGAACGCCGTCCACCTGCAGGTCTAGTGGGCAGTCGTCCAGTGCCGCCTCCGACGCTCCATCTCGGGGTCCTGTAGCGGAATCTCGGCGTCTCGCAGCTGAACGTGGTTGACAGCCACACCCGGCGGCAATGCCGTGAGGAGAGTTGGGGGCTACGGGACCAACGACACCATCCCAGCGCCAGTTCTAGTAGCACTGCGTTATCGACAACAAATGCGCTGTTGCGGCGGTTGTGCGGGACGTGGTCGTCGGGTGGGTACACGACGGACAGCGAGTCCAACTTCATGCCCGGTGCGTCCCGAGGTCAGCGCGTCTAGTAGCACAGGCGGTCAGCAGCAGCAGCAGATGCGTCGACGCACAGGCGCTGAGCGTGTGACGACTCCAACGACGCTGGACTTGGTGAGTGAGGGGCAAACTGGCAGGCTGGACTTGACCGCAGCGTGCACAGTATCACGGGCAGCCACGCGCCGTAAACGATGGGTACGACCAGCACATGTGTACCACCGTCGTCCGAGGCGTGGAAACCGGAAGAACGGAGCGTGGGCAGCCAGGGACACTTGGGATCGAGCTTGCAAAATCGGAAATGAGCTCCGATGCGAGAAGGTCATTTTGATTCGGAGCAAGCCGAACAAGCCGACCAAACAACAGTCGACCAAACAACAGTGGATCGATTTGAACTAATTCCGCCAATCACACTTCTTGTTGAACTTTGGCAGCCAATCACTGTCATCGATTTTTCGGAGACAGGTTTTGATTGGTCAAAGCGAAGACATGGGAAAAAATGTCAGCGCGGGAAAGCTTGAAAAGATCAACCAAAGCAAAATGGGCACCAAAAAGGCGAGCCTTTACATGTTGTGTAAACCACTTCAAATACCGATAGCCTATTTATGTAACATTATGTATAGCGACCGCTCTACCCGTTCTCCCTCGCCGAAATGCCCTACCATCGGCATTCCCCCAACCATGGTCTTGGTGGACCTGGTCGGAAGCGTCTCCGCCGTCGGCGACACGGATGCAATGGTGGCGGGCGACTCGGGCAGCAAGCACAACGGCGGCCGCAACGCCGTGTGTGCCGTCAACAGCATGGTCTCGGAGGCTTCCGCGGCGACCGTGGCCGTGTTGGACGTGAGTGGCCGTGTTGGACGTGATCGAGGGCGTCACCGCTGGCATGGTCACGAACGCGACGGTGGGATTCGGCGCGGTTGATGAGGCTAATAGGGGTGCCTTCGTGTTGGCTGGACAGCGCCACGAGAGCGTTTATAGTAGCGGCATCGAGAGCCGGGCTGAGTTGCCTTGCTGGCGGTAGGAGCGTCTTCAACCTGGTGTTGAATACATTGATGGGGATGGGACCTTTGTGAAAGGTCGGTAGGTTATCAGGCGAAGAAGTATGAGACCAAATATCTTATGGTATGTATGGCATTAAAGGTTTCTAGATCTCGTGGCAACCCGATGGCAGACTTCTCGGACGAAGAGGACTTGCTGCTTTATCGGCTGGCAAAGGATCAGGTTGATGCAGGCCGCCGAATTTACTGGCGGACTGTCTGGTTGGGGATGGCATACTGCGGGAAGACACAGCGACAGCTGCAGATTCGTCTAAAGACGCTGAAGAGGACACACGGCGTGAGCTTAGATTCTTTCCCAAGGAGATTTCGGGATCAAAAATCGGCACGAACGCGCTTAGTTGGTGGCCACAAGGTGAGCGCTCCCGATCTGGGTCAAGTTTGTTTGCCTCGGCCTTGCGTCAACCCGTCCATGCGCCGGATTGTCATGCTGGTGAGATTTCGCCAACTGGGGTTTCAGCAGTCATTCCAACGCTTACAATCGCCGACACTTTTGTTGACTTTGGATCTGGGATCGGCAACGTGGTTGCACAAGTGGCATTGGAGACTTGTGTTGGGAGATGCATCGGGATTGAGTTCCAGGACAACTTGGCAAACATGTCCAAACTGCTCATTCGTGGCGCACGCGTGGATTTCCCGAATTTATCCAAGGTCACGATTCACGAGGCCGACCTCAGAGCGATGAGCCCAGCCGTACGCGAGGATATTGACGGGTGCAGTGTTTTATTTGCGAACAATATCGTTTTCGAGCCTACAAGTTTTGCGGCGCTGGAGGACTTTGCATCTTCGGCAGCAGGTTTGGTTCACGTCGTTATCATGGCAACAATTTGCGGCCGGCACCGCCCAACCTGCCCGCGCAAATTCCGCTCTGTCTAGACGCTCCGACAGCGTATCGACGTTCAAGTGTCTTGGTCTTCCCAGCTTCATCATGCATACTGGTACACCAGGGTTGTAGAGCCCTACATCTAAGTACCTCACGCAGAATGGAAAGGGACATTCAATATACTTCGTTTGTCATCTTGTTCATCCAATTGTTCATTACCTGTCGAGCCAATAACATATATCAGCCATTGTACACATCTACATCAACGTCTTGCACGGACATCGTAGCTCTGACCGCATCCACCAAGGTCACGGTCACCTCCATCGCGCCTGAAAACCTGCTGTCAATGTCGCTGGCGGCGCTGCTGCCGCTACTACCGGCGGCAACCTGCGTGCGGACTGCCGCTGTCGTTGCGCTCGCTGCCCGAGCCGAATGCCACCGTCGCGTTCGTGACCATGCCAGCGGAGACGCCCCCGATCACGTCCAAAACGGCCACGGTCGCGCGACAGCCTCGCCCCAGCCGAATCCCACCGTCGCGTTCGTGACCATGCCAGCGGTGACGCCCTCGATCACGTCCAACACGGCCACTCACGTCCAACACGGCCACGGTCGCCGCGGAAGCCTCCGAGACCATGCTGTTGACGGCACACACGGCGTTGCGGCCGCCGTTGTGCTTGCTGCCCGAGTCGCCCGCCACCATTGCATCCGTGTCGCCGACGGCGGAGACGCTTCCGACCAGGTCCACCAAGACCATGGTTGGGGGAATGCCGATGGTAGGGCATTTCGGCGAGGGAGAACGGGTAGAGCGGTCGCTATACATAATGTTACATAAATAGGCTATCGGTATTTGAAGTGGTTTACACAACATGTAAAGGCTCGCCTTTTTGGTGCCCATTTTGCTTTGGTTGATCTTTTCAAGCTTTCCCGCGCTGACATTTTTTCCCATGTCTTCGCTTTGACCAATCAAAACCTGTCTCCGAAAAATCGATGACAGTGATTGGCTGCCAAAGTTCAACAAGAAGTGTGATTGGCGGAATTAGTTCAAATCGATCCACTGTTGTTTGGTCGACTGTTGTTTGGTCGGCTTGTTCGGCTTGCTCCGAATCAAAATGACCTTCTCGCATCGGAGCTCATTTCCGATTTTGCAAGCTCGATCCCAAGTGTCCCTGGCTGCCCACGCTCCGTTCTTCCGGTTTCCACGCCTCGGACGACGGTGGTACACATGTGCTGGTCGTACCCATCGTTTACGGCGCGTGGCTGCCCGTGATACTGTGCACGCTGCGGTCAAGTCCAGCCTGCCAGTTTGCCCCTCACTCACCAAGTCCAGCGTCGTTGGAGTCGTCACACGCTCAGCGCCTGTGCGTCGACGCATCTGCTGCTGCTGCTGACCGCCTGTGCTACTAGACGCGCTGACCTCGGGACGCACCGGGCATGAAGTTGGACTCGCTGTCCGTCGTGTACCCACCCGACGACCACGTCCCGCACAACCGCCGCAACAGCGCATTTGTTGTCGATAACGCAGTGCTACTAGAACTGGCGCTGGGATGGTGTCGTTGGTCCCGTAGCCCCCAACTCTCCTCACGGCATTGCCGCCGGGTGTGGCTGTCAACCACGTTCAGCTGCGAGACGCCGAGATTCCGCTACAGGACCCCGAGATGGAGCGTCGGAGGCGGCACTGGACGACTGCCCACTAGACCTGCAGGTGGACGGCGTTCTCCCGTCCTTTTTCGCTTCCAGCGATCCTCATCGACGGATAACCGCACGTAGATACCTCAGGAGGGAGCGGGGTGCCACCGGCGACAAAGATCAAGAGAGGCTGCTGCTAGCAATGGAGCGTTCGAGTCCCATCGGGGGTCAAGATGGAGCCTGAAGTCGCCAAGACGACGACGTCGCAAGCGCCCAATTTGCCCAGCGACAGGGACACGCAGGCAGCATTGGCACTTGGCAGCAGTGTATCTACGATGGGCGTCACCACTGTCGCCGTGTACCGTAGTTCGGACCGTCACTATGGGGCTTGCATGGGTCAACGTAACTCTGGAGACGATGCCGAAGCCGCTACAGCACTTACATTTGGTAGCAATATGCCTGGAGTAAATCTAAGTACCGTATGTTACCGTTGAACGCTTTGAGTACTCGTACTATTCATGACTCTGTGTAATTACACTGTATTCATCCCGCACTCGATATCCGATGCATTTTGCACGGTACCTTGTCAGCACAGCTACGCTGCATTCCGCATGGCGGGCATTGAACCTGCACCGGTGGGTTCAAACTCCACCATACTAACATCACATACAACGATGAGTCGAACCACCCCATACAAAGCCTAGTACGTTCGGTCCCTTTGAACACTCCGAACATGGCCATACAAATAACAATATATTTGGTCCAACATATCCACCCAACAACGCTGATCTCTAGTACTTCATCATTCTAGATTCTGCGCTCAAGTGGAAAGATGGTTGATCGCAGGAAGGTCGCGGATAAAGTAGAGGTAAGTGTTTTGGCTATTTCGGCATCGTGTTGTTATGCTAGTGCTAATACGAACGGCTATGTATGGGTAGTTGTCAGGACCAACTAAGACGCATGCAAGCGATGGAAGGCGAATTTACGGATCGTCCAAGACGCTTGAAATGGTAGTGATGACATTGTTTCGGCCGTACTGATGCTCATCGCATATATAGTCTTTGGCTTTGTGTAGCGCCGGTGAGCAACTGGAGTTCGACAATCTGTATCCAGTATTTGTGACCCCTTCTGGGCGAGAGCGGGTAAGTTAGTGTAGCTACGCAATAACGTTTGGCTAAAGCTAATCAGTGCCTACCTGTAGAGAACCGAAGCGAGATGTGGCACGTCGATCGACATAGACGACTTCATAATTGCACTGCCCGTGAAAGAGATGAACGACCTCTACGTGGCGATTTGTCGCGGTGAAGATGATCGTGCGCACAACTTTATCTGGATGATGCGTTGGCTGGAGACGTGCATGGAGCTGTCTGAGGTAAGCCAAAATGTTGTATCGTGGCTGGTTACGGGTAATGATATCTATGTTTGTATTCGATATGAAAATGTAGATCACGCGACCGCAAATTCGGGCACGTCTAAAATGTATAAACTCCAACTTGTTGCGGTATCGTGAGGAGCAAGACGAACATATCGAGCGCTTTATCGCGATGGAGGCGGACCCTTCCACGCCACACGACACCCTCATGAACCATTATAAGGAAGGCCTTGACTTGCAGAAACGCTACAACGTAGTTGCCGATCTAGCCACAGCGATGGACAGAGTCGATATACAGGCGGACCAACTCAAGGACCAAGCTCGCTGGACATGCTCTTGCGAGAAGTGCGCATACTACCGCTCGCCCCAATGGCTTCAAGAGCAACCTCTCGGCTTGGCACCACAAGCTCTAAGGCCGCGCTGGTTTTGGCCTCCCCGCTATCATGGGTGATATCCAGTTGATTCGCGGAGCAGGACGCTCCAAGGCGAATACACGTTACTGAATTTACTATGTCCTCCCCCTAGTAACAGAGCAATATGCAATTTAGTTGAATGTAATCTCTCAAGTAATGTTACTTATAGAGTGAACTGATCATTCTAACGAAACCCAAAGCTGTCTGAATACGGTGATCCTTTGCGCCAGCACGCATACCCATACCGGCAAGTCCCTGCCCACATCTACCAAGGCCACGGTCACCTCCATCGTGTACGAGACCCTTCTGTCGATGTCGCTGGCGACGCCGCTGCCGCTACTACCGGCGGCAACCTGCGTGCGGACTGCCGCTGTCGTTGCGCTCGCTGCCCGAGCCGAATGCCACCGTCGCGTTCGTGACCATGCCAGCGGAGACGCCCCCGATCACGTCCAAAACGTCCACGGCCGCCGCGGAAGCCTCCGAGACCATGCTGTTGACGGTGCTGACGGCGCTGCCGTAGCCATTGCGCCCGCTGCCCGAGACGCCCGCAGTCATCGCGTGCTTGTCGCCGCCGGCGGAGACGCTCCGGCCAGGCCCAGGACAGCCGCCATAGTCGCCACCGTCGCGTCGGAGACCACGGTGCCGCCGCTTCACAACTAGGAAAAGCCCCACATAATCCACAAGAGGGCGCTGTGATCCACGGTACTGCTCTTACTAAAATTTTGTTAGGGTGCTGTTCTCACGGTACTGCTTCCACTGATACTTTGTCGATTCGCAGCGAATCACAGAGAAGCAGTAAAATGATGCCTCATGTACCTTTTTGATCGAAAGGTCGCTTCAAACCTCCCATCACGTATACTTTTGATCAGTTGGCCTCACAAACCTAATACAGCAAAATGATACCTCATGCATCATTTTACCCCGTTTTACTTAAAGTTTGTATGGTGTCCCTTCAAACAGAAATGTATGGCGTTAACGATAGGGTTAATTCGGTTTCCTGCGTGTATATCCGCCCCATAACACGGTTAGATGAGGAATCCCAGCGTAAGCTATAGTAAAAGGCTTCCACTCAGTGAATATTATCTACTACCCCACTAACGCATTCTCCTAACGCTACACATTGTACCTTAAAGATATACGAAACGCGTTTAAGCAAGTGTAGCTAAATATCCCCCCAAGATGAACGCAGAGCGCCGCTGTAGCTATAATACTTAAGTATGTACATTCCTAAATAATTACAGTAAAAAATATGCTATGCGTGTCAGCGAACGCCTTCCTCATATGTACGCGCACTGCTGTCGCTTACTATGCGCTTCTATCCTTTACTATGCGCTTCTATCGCTTACTCTCCGCCGCTATCGCTAACTTATGCGCTACTATCGCTCACCCAATTATCGTAGCAAGTGTTTATATGAAGCAAACCTCGCTACAGCGCTAATATACCAAGTAGTAGGGTGCCCGACTCCAGCGATAGCTACTACTACGCGGTGGGCCCATTTTAATTAATAGCAGGTGTTCCAAAAAGTATTATATTAGGCCAAGCGTCACCGCGGGGTGACGTAATCGCCCCCGTTCCGCTCGCCTCGTCGGCTCGATGCACTACTCGCCGTGTTATTAGTACATAGTTGTAGGGCGGGCGCTGCGGCCCGCTAGAACGCACGCGTGTGCCGCCTTCGCTGCGCTCGGCAGCTTGTGATGGGGCCGCCTTCGGCGTCCAAAGCTGCCTATGTACGATTATGTGGACCACCTTTAAAGTGGACAGGGTGTGACGGACTGACACGCAGACGGATAGATCTCTCTCTTAGTTGTTGTAGACTAGCCGAGCGCCGCCGCTACGCGGCGGTAGTTATGTGGTTAGTTGCAGTAGATAGGGCTGCCCACCTCCCCTTCGCTCCGGTGGGCTTTTATCCAGTTCAAATGATATTTATTTCCGATTGTGTGCGTGTAAAAATGCTTTTATGCTTAGTGTAGTCGTGGATGGTACTAGTATCAGCCAAAATAACTGTTCCCATGCCAGCGTTACTATGAGTAGATGGATGTTGCAGGGTAAAATATTCTCTATTGTACGACCCTATCTTTTACGGGAAAGCCGTGTCCAACTCGTCCAACTCGTCGCAACTATTTAACCCGAACTACAAAGTATTCGCACGGTTCACATCTAACAATCCGTGTTTACTGTGAATGTAGTAGAAATAAACATGAGCAATAATCATGGCAGGGTAGATCGATCTGGTGTTGCTATCGTTAACGTGCTCACGTATATGTACATATTTGTTGCTCAGTTTACCATCGTACCATAGTTCTCTGTCATTCAGTTTGTATACATTTACATTTTGTATTGGGCTATAAGCCCAGCGACAATCAAAGTGTTGACTTCGCTTTTCCCCGACTTAACATATAATAACTATTCGTGTTCTTATTTAAAATATCATGCTTTATCGTTTCAGCATTGTGTATGATCCGTCAAATGTAGCTGCGGGCTAACTATTACGTGGTCTGCTTCAAAAGTCATACATTTAGACGTGGCTATCCGTTTATTCTCGTAGATACATGTATTCTGACATTCACTGAGCGGAAGTTTTTTATCATAGTTTACGCTGAGTTTCATTCAATAACCATGCTATTAGGCGGGTATACATGTAGGAAACGGAATTAGTATAGTGTAAACGTGAAGTTTATAGTTACGCGGTGCAAGGTTGTTACTTTTAATATCATAGTTACTGTAAATGCTAAAATGCTAATGTTCGCTGCATAGCAGAACCCCACTAACGCATTATCCTACCGCTGCACACTGTACTTTAGTAAATACGAAACGCGCTTAAGCAAATATTCCCCCACGATGAACGCAGAGTGCCGCTGTAGCCATAATATATCCACCGCTAAAGTATTACAGTAAAAGTACACTGCGCATGTTAGTAATAAATCTCCTTCCGCTACATGTATCGCTTACTGCACACGGCTATGAACTACAATAAAACCTCCACTCCAATGCATGTCTAGGCATCTACTATCCCCAGAACCCATTATCTTACCGCTACTCAGCACCGCTGCAGCTATAATGTATCCGTCCCTAAAGTATTACACAAAAACTAACCTGAAACTATTAATCAATCGTCTTCAGCTACTGTACCTCTCGCTACATGTGCTCGCACTGCTATCGCTTATTACGTCGGTGCTATCGCCTTCTATGCGCTTCTATCGCTTACTATACGCTCCTATCATTTACTATCATTTACTGTGCGCTGCTATCGCAAAGTATCCGTTGCAATCGTTTTCTACGTGCTGCTATCGCTAACTACTAGCCGAGCGCCGCCGCTACGCGGCGGCGATTTTTAGTTAGTTGGCGCTTCACTCGCTATGCTCGCTCCACTATTGGAGCAGGCTGCCGACGCTTCGCTACGGCAGTGGCAGACCCGTTCCGCTCGCCTCGTCGGCTCGCTGCACTACTCTCAATGTTTAGTTACTACTACAGAGGTTGGGCGGGCCCTACGGTCCCACAATATCGTATGAGGGGGTCGCCTTCGCTGCGCTCGGCAGCAATTTCAGCCAATAGGAATTCACGTGATCTACACACGGACAGCGCGTCGTTCTGATTGATTCTTAGAATACGTTCATATCGCTGACTACGCGCTGGTACAGCTAACTATGCGCTGCTATGGCTTACAATGTGCTTATGTTTAACCAAGTTCGCTGAATTAAAATTATACTATGTAGTAGGGCAAGCCCAGCTATCGCTGCCACTATCCACTACTCGCAGTACTATTATATATTTAAGAGGACTCTGCTATCGCTGCTACTACGCGGTGAACCCATTTTAATTAATAGCAGCTGTTCCGATAAGTATTATATTAGGCCAAGCGTCACGGCGGGGATGACGTAATCGCCCCCGTTCCGCTCGCCTCGTCGGCTCGCTGCACTACTCGCCGTGTTATTAGTACATAGTTGTAGGGCGGCCCTGCGGCCCGCTAGAACGCACGCGGGTGCCGCCTTCGCTGCGCTCGGCAGCAAATCGGAATTAGTGGGGTGGAGTTTTAGCCAATAGGAATTCACGTGATCTACGGACAACGAAGGATTGATGTTTAGGACTAGCCGAGCGCCGCCGCTACGCGGCGGTAGTTTTGTGGTTAGTTGTAGTATAAAGGGCCGCCCACCTCCGCCTCGCTCCGGTGGGCATTTATCCACTTCCAAAGGTTTGAATTTCGTGTGTAGGTAAAAAAAGGTTGAAAGTACTATCAGTAGAGTGACGTTTCTGGTATCAGCTTCGTAAATATTCCACCGTTAGACCTACATCAGGGTGTCTATAGGTAGTTGCATGTTGCAAGGTTAAACATTCTATTTTGTACGGTACTCTGTTGTAAACCGGGTCCACATACACACAATTAGTTAATACGACTACAAAGTCGCCATTGTAGTAAACGTCGTTGAAATAAGCATTGACATGAGCTACTACTTGCTGTGGCGGGGTAGATGTTGCTATGGACGGTGTGGTCAGTAAAGTCTGTATACGTGTTGTTTAATCACATTATCGCACTACCATAGTTTCTGTTATTTGGTTCGTAGGCTATGCCATTAATAGTGTACTTCCTAACGCTAAGATGTTAGTTGCTATACATGTTAGCTAACTGTTAGTGTCTAGTATTTTGAGCTAACATGTTAGTAGCGTTAGAGCACAAAGATAGGTCACCTTGAGTAAATGTAGGTGGAGGAGAAAAGCTCTGTTTATATAAACGCTTGTAAGCTATTCTAATAATATATTCTGACCTGCTATCGCATTCTTTGGTCATAGTGTAGCTTGGGCTAGGTTGCAGACCATACTTGAAGTTTAAACCAGGCATAGAAACCATACTTGAAGTCCAAACTAGACTTAGAGGACATAATTTCGTTTAACTCTTAGCTTTATTTAGTCATTACGCGGTGCGTGTGCACCAAGAATGTATCATAAACCAATCTTATGGATTTAATATGTAGAGATGTGCCAAGAAAACTAGCACGATACATATTTAAAGCAATGGTCCAAGTTGAAGTTGTATCACAAGAT